GGACTAGGACATTCAAACTCGCAGTTATCGTTCAAAAGATAATAATGGTAACTTTAATAATGGTGCGAAATATGTCTGGGTTTTAAAAGAAAATGCTTTGTCACAGAATAATAGTCTGTTAAAGGTGTCAAGTATGACATAATTTGGGGACAAAAAAACAAACCTGCATAGAAATCGGAATAATAAGTCTTTTGATTATCGGAGACGCATTTCAATGGACTTGATTACGGACAATGCATGACGTAAATTTCACCAGAAAATTCCGTAGTGTGCTCTCGCAATCGCGGACTTAGTCATTTTTACAAGGTTCGCCATTTTTGATGTCACGTGATAATAATGTAAACAATGTCTGTCCAGTTTGTGCGAACTTGCACCTCTATACTTAGTCTTTTGATATATATAACCTAAATTACTGTTCTGAACGAGACAACAGACAGGGAATGTTTTATTTAAAAACGTCACAAAACCTTCTCGCTACCTTAATAATGTTGTTCATGTTTTCAATGTGGCATATGCGCACACGAGTTACACACATGGTGGCGTCCTGAGAAACAGGCATAGCTAGCAAGCACGATGACCGCCACAATATAAGTATCTGTATAAATATATCATACAAACAGAGAGAATATATTGGCTCTGAAAACACATATGGCTGATATTATCTCTGAATTATATCACCTACGATGCATTTTGGACGATGTATCGAACTTACCAGGAAAGAGATCATACACATCAGCCCTGTGAACACCAATTCCATGCTCGTGTAAAAATGTTGTTCCATGGACATGAACGGTATGCATATCTACCTCAGATCCCATTGCCATCAAGTACCAATCAATTCGTTCTCCTGAGTACATCTCTACACCATATGCATTGCCATAAATCTTGCCATTAATGCCTGGAAAAAATATCATCCCGATTACTGTTGGAATGTCAAACTTATAAATACAAATATGAGCGGAACATTAAATATTACACTGAATTGATGAGCGTCGGTAACGTTACTGAATTAATGTACTTGAGTGTAAATTTATCTATCGGCAGACGTACACGTGTATCATTGTGGTGGAAGTAACATCGTCATCACACGCCTCTAGCACTGTTCGGCACACCATACAATTGCATACAATCACTACTAATAACATAATTATGAACACGGGTAAACCAATTTCCGATAATGTAAATGTGTTGCTTTTTATACATGGCATGACATGGTGGGCCATTTAAACATATTTCTAGGTAAATAAACCTAGGTTCCTATTTGAAAATAGGAAGGCTGGAGAATTAATTTTGGGAAAACACGTAATGAAGAAAAAAAAATGCAAATTTGTATAACGACTGAATAATTTAGGTAAACGTGTGACAAAAAATGTGCGAATGACATATTTAGCCAAAAAAACAAACACATTCATCCAGATTTAAAACAGGAACTCCCTTACCATGCATAAGATTACTCTCCTGAAAGTCGCCATCATCTTTGTCAACTTCCCCTGGAGTGTAACAATATGTCTGAATATTCTCATCAAAATACCAGCTCTCATTCTCATCGGTTACTGTGAAGAGCAAGGCGAATTCACGGTCTACGTCGTTTCTCGTCCCTTCTGCATCAAGTATGCCAGGACGACAGACAATTAGTGGTCCAATTAGCCCAGAGTTAGTATCTTTTATCGGATTCACTGCCGAGTAGTACGCCCATGTTATGCAATTAGAGTCGTAATCACTGGGACCAGAGCTTGCAGGCACTGTCCACCTACAATACATCGGAATATATGATTAATTTGGCATAAATTAAATACAAACACGTACCAATCTTCACGGCACAGTCATCCAGCGAGTAAGTTAGTTTGTTAGTCATATGATGGCTTAATTATCGTATTATTAAACCAATTCTGAAGTACCAGGTTGGAATTTGCCAGCTTTCGACTGAACAAAGATACACACAAAGGTAGAAATACGCGTCAACTTCTGGCCTCAGTCGCTTTGTGAAGAGCCCGACAAGGCTAGCTTGCCTTACCGGTAACTCCGCCAAGACAGACTCAAACCAGCTTTATTAACTTCTCAGCTCTTAGCCAATTACAAGTGAGTTTAAAGATTATAAGGCATCGCCTTCAATCATACAGCCAATCACACGGTACCGGACACGTCATATCTACTGATTAGTCGTCCGCTATATTAATAAACTACAAATACCAAACTGTCATAGTTCCAGTCAAAGATTTCAGTTCCGACGAAGGTGCCGCGTGAGTCTAAATAATGGAAGATTATGGTAAAGTGATGAATGATATGACACAGTCATTCACTAGAACCCAACTATCAAATCGTATCAGTGACCCATCTTCTTAGAAATAAATCATGACAGTCACTCAACCAGTCGGAAATACAAAGTAGTCATTCAGTCGTTAGAAAGCCACGAACATACGTGTCGGACAAGAAGAAGGTAAACATTTAGCTTACGTACAAGTAATTATATACTTCGCCAGGCTGAACAGCATCGCCACCACCTACATTACCGTCCATATACGGGGAACCCTCTGATGACTTACTGTACGCTAGACCGTGAGGATGGAGCGAATAACTACGAGATGCCATATTCTTGAATACAACTTCAACTGTATCTCCAATTTCAGCTTTTATGTATGGTCCTAACATATGAAGATGTGATTCTTCAGGAGTTCGTGGTTTTTCTATGAGGAAGTCTTTGTCTTCGTATTCTTTGTACACAGCCTTTTTGTATTGATGACCAATAGACGTGTTTCCACGGTAACAAAATATGTACCCATAGCTAAGACAAAGGAATATCGTAGGTTGGAATTATTTGTATTTCAACTGTATGGAGCAAAAGATGAAGGACATTCTCCACAAGGAGATATATATTGCAACAGAGTAGCCGAAATTCAACGCGCTCTTCGCTTGATATTAACATTTCTTTTGCTTCACATTAGACTATTAAATGATATAAATAAATGACCATATTCACATAATTATGAGTTCATTTGTATTCTAAAACGGAAGTTTTAAAAATGGGGTTAGAAGGCAGTTGAATCCAAAATGACCAATTACTTGCGCACACAACTGCGCAATAATGGAACTGTATTGATCAACATTAGTGGCGTTGAGTGGGATACAAACCAAGATTCAAATCAACATTAATGGCTTTGAGTGGGCTACAAACCAAGATTCGAATCAACATTAATGGCCTTGAGTGGGCTACAAACCAAGATTCAAATCAACATTAATGGCCTTGAGTGGGCTACAAACCAAGATTCGAATCAACATTAATGGCTTTGAGTGGGACACAAACCAAGATTCGAATCAACATTAATGGCCTCGAGTGGGCTACAAACCAAGATTCAAATCAACATTAATGGCCTTGAGTGGGCTACAAACCAAGATTCGAATCAACATTAATGGCCTTGAGTGGGCTACAAACCAAGATTCGAATCAACATTAGTGGCGTTGAGTGGGATACAAACCAAGATTCGAATCAACATTAATGGCCTTGAGTGGGACACAAACCAAGATTCGAATCAACATCAATGGCTTTGAGTGGGACACAAACCAAGATTCGAATCAACATTAATGGCCTTGAGTGGGCTACAAACCAAGATTCAAATCAACATTAATGGCCTTGAGTGGGCTACAAACCAAGATTCGAATCAACATTAATGGCCTTGAGTGGGCTACAAACCAAGATTCAAATCAACATTAATGGCCTTGAGTGGGCTACAAACCAAGATTCGAATCAACATTAATGGCTTTGAGTGGGACACAAACCAAGATTCGAATCAACATTAATGGCCTTGAGTGGGCTACAAACCAAGATTCGAATCAACATTAATGGCTTTGAGTGGGACACAAACCAAGATTCGAATCAACATTAATGGCTTTGAGTGGGACACAAACCAAGATTCGAATCAACATTAATGGCTTTGAGTGGGACACAAACCAAGATTCGAATCAACATTAATGGCTTTGAGTGGGACACAAACCAAGATTCGAATCAACATTAATGGCCTTGAGTGGGCTACAAACCAAGATTCGAATCAACATCAATGGCTTTGAGTGGGACACAAACCAAGATTCGAATCAACATTAATGGCTTTGAGTGGGATACAAACCAAGATTCGAATCAACATTAATGGCTTTGAGTGGGATACAAACCAAGATTCAAAACGGCTTAAGTTGTCCAGATAAAAATAAATAAGTCATGTGAGTAAACTGAGTAATAAAGTAATATATTCACCTATTAGGATTGTATAAAGACGAGTTGGTAATTCTGTCATAACCATTTGGGGCATAGTCCCACTCTTCTTCCACGGCAGCTATGTAATATGTTCTTGTCATTGCTTGGGGAATGGCGTCTACATGCTTCGCCGATTCTATTGAATTGGCTTTGGCGCAGTCGTTCACTGAATACAACCCCATCATACCTGCCCTGTAGTGGTCGTTAGTTCTACAGACAAAAGCCCAGTCACCTGTGAAAATTGAATATATGTTATTAACAAAACTGAGGAATTACGAATTAAAGTTACAATACATAGGTGCCAACACCTGTTATAACATTCTCATCCGTGTCGCAGTTTGTCACTGTGATTCGGAATATATGAGCTTTGTCCTGTGAAGGTGAAAAATAAATACATAACAAACGGTATTTCTTAAATATTATCAATCAGATAATAATCAGGTAATCAGATTTAAAGCGGGGGAGTCGTCACCTGCGCATGCGTTTACAAACAAACGTCTACGTGTTTAGCGTGTGTTGTTATCGTCGCCTGGGACTCAATTCCCGCGCGTGCGCAAGTGACGACCCTCCCGTTTTAAGCAGATATAGTTTTTTTTTTCAAAAGCTACATTGATTTTTGAAATTTGAAAGACCGTGATATTTTTCAAGATTTCTGTTAGAAAGCTGTTAAAAACTGTTACGACAATAACTAGTATAAGTGGGTCTTATGGCACGAAACCTACCGATGTTCTTGGGCTGCATGATTGCATGTTGTAATATACTAGGCGTGAGAGGAATCGTGTCTACGTGGTTACTGTTCCAGGTAAGCGTGTTGCCATGGAAATGTGCTCCATGAATATCTACCGCATCTCCCATCGTCATCAAATGGAACATAATTGTGTCCGAGGTACAGAAAGCAAGACTGGGGATATTTGCATATAAGTATCCATTAATCCCTAGAAGATAAATGATAGTCGGTGACGTCAGAGATTCGAAGCGCGTGTCCATCAATTTATTGAAGGTCCATGTTCATCGCAAGCTATTTAGAGCCGTATTTTTTGGAACGTTTATTGCTTATAGTGGAGAGGCGCTTTGTCGAAGTCGCAAGTTCGAATCTAGTGTATGGTGTGATTATGCGTTCGTAATATACATGTAATTATAAATATACATGTGGTTAAAAAAGTTACATGAAGGCTAAACAACTTAACGATATATTAGACGTATGAGGAAGTAAAATTCATACAATTGCATACTAGCAAAATAACGGGAGTAGAAAGAATAAAACAAACATAGTTTTACGTTATTATTAGGTTTCAGGTTATTTTGAAAACAGAGATGCAGACAAAAGTTGAGTGGTTCACATAACTTGAAACTATTGAATATTACCGTGCATAAGGTTAGATTCCATAAAATCTTCATTTTGTCTATCAACGTCATCGGGCAGCCCACAGAATTTTTGTATGTTGCTTTCGATGTGCCAGCTTTGATTTTCATCAGTGACTCCGAAATGAAGGAACACTTCCCTATTGAAGTCAACCTGTGAAGGTATATATCTGATTTACCATTCATTACACACGTTTTAAACATGTCTCCCGCCACAGCTTCCAATCTCAGAGAGTGCGCTTTTACTTGAAATTAAAATCCTAATATGAATGGTTCGAGTATTAGGATTTCCTGATGCAATCACACGAAAGGCGCGTGTTGCGTAATAGTTTAATGGCTATCACTGAAGCGACGCCTTACCCCGATACCTTGACCTTGGTTGCACACGATTAAGGGTCCAATCAAGCCTGAATATATATCTTTGGTTGGGTGAACGTGGGAATAATATACATAGGTAAGACACGGTCCATCACCTGCCAGTGGTGCCCATTCCGTTGGTACGGACCACATGTATGTATATACGCCGCCCGGTGGGACTGCATCGTCTAGTTTGTCGGCCCCTGTAGTATATAATTTACATTGAAAAGCAATTCATTATTTTGATCATTAGGTGCAAAACAACAACAAAACACTATTATCTATAGCTCATTGCGTTGCCTACGCATGCGCGTTTCCAGCGACAATAAAATCAAGCGAATATTATATAATTATATTTTACATTCAAAATCAGTGAAAATAAATTTCATACAAAACACCCTAAAAGTCCTTTCAGCGAATATTAATTCCAGCTAAAATAAAGTATAAAAGGTGGTTGAAAGCAATGTCATTCACAAGCGACGACAATTACTATGTTTGTTTGTGTCGTCGGTCGTCATACAGTATATAGAAATCACTCAAAAGCATATTTTGTCTTCAACGACGACGTTCGTTTCATTTATTTACGTCAAAATAGTGCTATGACCACTCACGTAAATACGGCCATCGTGAAATAAAGAATACGACAGTACTGTGTCTATACTGCAGTATATCCGCAGTATTTAGATCAGGGGATGGGGATGGTATTGTTCGACTAACTTTCAGTTCCATCCTGGTAACTGCGCCCTCATTTGCTTTATCGTAAAACACTCCATGCGGGTGTATGCTATGTGATCTGTTAGCCATATTACGGAATGTGACATGGATCTGATCCCCTACTTCCGCTCTAATTGGTGGACCTAAGTACCCCATGTGATATCATCGACAGTACGATCTTTCCTCGTGTTGAATGTCGCATCGGTGTATTCAACAAAGATAGTTTTCTTGTAAACTCCACCAATTCGGTAATCCCCTCTTTCGAAGAAAGTACCCGACTCACTAAAATTGAGGAAACCGGGGTTTAAATTTGGCAACTGGTGATTTAGATGTTGATGACAATGCTTCACAAATTCACTGCGACAATCCCAAATATCCCGAATCCAAGAGCGCCCCCAAAGAAAACACGCCCGACTAACGATAGACATATACATTAAATTGCATGACAGAACTGAAACATTGTGTAGACTGGAATACTGGGCGCGTACGAATTGTCTACACGATTCACACACTGTCTGTAAGTTTTTCCTGAAATCAAATAATAAATCACTTCATAGTATCATCCACGAACCGAAGTTGAGAGTAGATATTACAGTTCATGACGTCACGAGTATCAACATGCACGTCATTCATATTTAAAGGATTTACGGAAAACGAAGCATGTGTTTACAAAAAAGTATGCAAAATAATCTGAAAAGCGATCATTTTGGAACATTTCCCATAGGATTCCATGTGAACACATTATTCAGTGAAAAACTTATACATGTACTAATATTCAAAATTATCCCAGTTTTCGTGACAGTCATATGTAGTAGCCCTATTAACATATCATTTTTTAGCATAGGTCATCGAACAAAATGTTAAGTTAAGTTATGATGGAATGTTTCTGACATAGGAACACTTGTAAACTAATGTAAACGCATATTTGGTCGTTTTGAAGTCGTTTTGTGGAAATCTTTGTCCGGTGACCATATATTTTTATTTCAGGATTACAGTAACCCAACCATTTTTGCTGAATTTCAATTATTTCTGAGTATTTTTTTAATGGTAGCAGCTAGTAAACACCTAAGTTAATGTTCTCAGTTGGAAACAGTCGTAAATACGACGAAACTCATCAAAAAAACGACAAAAAACGACAAAACTCGTAATTGGGAAATGTAGGGGCATGCATCTATCCACCTCAAATGTCTGATTACCTGCCAGGCTCGTTTAGAGGTCCTCCATAAAAATTATTCATTCCAGATGGACCGTAATCCCAGTACACGTCCTCGGCTTGGATGTAATATTCTCTGACCGCATCTGTTAATCCCGTAAGCTTAGGCGCGTCAGCCAAACCACAGTCTTGAATGTCAAACAGTACAGCCATGCCATCTACAAGTAGCACAGTTTTAGTATATTGAAGGCTTAGTTTTGCAGTACCTGATTGGCTATGTATGCTAATGGAATATGACTATTCAACTACATTAACGTTGATAATATCACAATTATTATATACACCGTTTCTATATATGTGCAAATGTGCGAATGACACTATGAACATTTTATGGAACACATCTTAATAACTGGACTTCGTGTGAATAACTGGGTCACATGTGAATAACTGGGTCACATGTGAATAACTGGGCTACAAGTGAATAACTGGGTCACATGTGAATAACTGGGCTACATGTGAATAACTGGGTCACATGTGAATAACTGGGCTACAAGTGAGTAGTAACTGGGCTACATGTGAATACCCGGGCTACATGTGAATAACTGGGCTACATGTGAATAACTGGGTCACATGTGAATAACTGGGCTACGTGTGAGTAACTGGATCACATGTGAATAACTGGACTACATGTGAGTAACTGGGCTACATGTGAGTAACTGGGCTACATGTGAATAACTGGGCTACATGTGAATAACTGGGCTACGTGTGAGTAACTGGATCACATGTGAATAACTGGACTACATGTGAGTAACTGGGCTACATGTGAGTAACTGGGCTACATGTGAATAACTGGGTCACATGTGAATAACTGGGCTACAAGTGAGTAGTAACTGGGCTACATGTGAATAACTGGGCTACATGTGAGTAGTAACTGGGCTACATGTGAGTACCCGGGCTACATGTGAATAACTGGATCACATGTGAATAACCGGGCTACATGAGAATAACTGGATCACATGTGAATAACTGGGCTACATGTGAATAAGTGGGTTAATTGTTAATAACAGGACTACATGTGAGTAACTGGACTACATGTGAGTACCCGGGCTACATGTGAATAACTGAGTCACATGTGAATAACTGGGCTACATGTGAATAACTGGGTCACATGTGAATAACTGGGCTACAAGTGAGTAGTAACTGGGCTACATGTGAGTACCCGGGCTACATGTGAATAACTGGATCACATGTGAATAACCGGGCTACATGTGAATAACTGGATCACATGTGAATAACTGGGCTACATGTGAATAAGTGGGTTAATTGTTAATAACAGGACTACATGTGAGTAACTGGACTACATGTGAGTAACTGGGCTACTTGCGAATACCCGGGCTACATGTGAATAACAAGGCTACATGTGGGTAACTGGCTACACGTGAATACCCGGGCTACATGTGAATAACATGACTACATGTGAATAACTGGGCTACGTCTGAGTAACTGGGTTACAAGTGAGTAACTGGGCTACACTTGAATACCCGGGCTACATTTGAATAACTGGGCTACGTGTGAATAACTAGACTTCACGTGAATACCCGGGCTACATTTGAATAACTGGACTGCATGCGAACTGGACTACATGTGAATAACTGGACTGCATGCGAACTGGACTACATGTGAGTAACTGGGCTACGTGTAACTGGGCTACATGTGAGTAACTGGGCTACGTGTGAGTAACTGGGCTACATGTGAGTAACTGGACTGCATGTGAATAACTGGGCTACGTGTGAGTAACTGGGCTACATGTGAGTAACTGGACTGCATGTGAATAACTGGACTACATGTGAGTAACTGGG